TTAAAACCCAGGATTTTATACTAAAAAAAGAACAGAACTTGAAGGAAACTTACGAGGCTCTTTAATTGTGAAGAAGTGGGTGTAAGATGGAATTACCATTAATGGATTTAAAAGAGCGAAAAAGGAAAGAAGCATGCAGAAGCTATGTGGAGGGTTCCGGCGAAGCATTGAATGAGTGGGGAATGCATGTGAGTGTGAAGGTGGAAAGGGGAGGATTCCTTGTGGGACTGGATTGCAATTGCAAGGTGGAAAGCACACGATAGAAAGGTAAAGTTTTTTGATGCCTCGTGGATCCTCCTAAGGTCATTGCTTTCTCTTTTTTCCTTTTTTTTTTTTGGTTTAATTTTTGAGAAAATAGAATTATAATGACATGATTAAAAGAAGGGTTCCATTAATGGATGTCAAATTAAAACAAAAAAAAAACTATATATTAATTATATATTTTTTATAAATATCACATTAACTAATATCATATATCAATGACAGTGATAGCCATTAGTTATTCATTGTTAAGATGATTAAAGTATATTTGTTGGATAATTAAGTGTGATTTAGTACAAGATAACCACACTATTGATTCACAAAACAAATTGTTCATATATTTGAAAGTTCTTGAGAAATCAACTTAGTCATTAGGAAAATTCTAGTAGTAAAATATTGATAAGCATGGCCAATCTCATCATCATTGAAATCAAATACTTGACAAGGGGATGAAGATTATTCAAACTTGAAGCATACCATTGGATTTAAAAGGATTGACTTTTATTCTCGATTTATTTCAATGTCTGCAAAATGATTTTTTTTTAAATACTCAATATTTTGTAAAACACATCAAAATTAAAATTTTATTTTTATGTTCATAAAAGTTAAAAAATGAATAAAGAAAAACAAAATAAAAAAAGTAATGATTTTGTATAATGTCTGATTTTTACATACGTGGATGTTAAGTAAACTTTTATATAAAAATGAATCCTTGGTTTTTACTACTAATTTTAGTGATTGGAATTACAAGGTCAAGCCTTTGGACTATTAGTTTGTTTGGATAATGGAAAAGCCATTAATTTGGAGTAAGGATAGAACCTAAGCCAAATCACCAAATAGTTCCATTTCGGTTTACGTGGCAATATATCATTGGTTCTATTCAATCAGCGACGTCGTTTAGTTAATATGTCAGTCCCCACGTGAACAGAACTCAGCGGAACCCGCCCCAGCACGTAAAGATAAAGGACAGTAACGACCAACAGTTGAGTGATTCATGTAAAGGGAAATCCCGTAGCTGAGCGGAGCCGTTGGATTAATAGTAATCAAAACGGCGGAGAAAAGCCAAACCGATGTGAAGGAAAAAAAGGAAGGAATAAGAACTGGAAGTTGAAACCCTAAGGGAGAGTTAGGAGTTTGGTAGGGGATTTTTTCGTTTTTGTTGAAAGAATAGGAACCTGTGTTTCGAAGCCAGGTGGTGCGGCGAGCAGAGCCGTAGCGCAGAGGCTCTCGCAAGCTGCTGCTCTACCTGATACAACTACTGCTGCTGCTCTACCTGATACAACTACTGCTGCTGCAAACGTCTTCGATAAGTCGCCGTCTACCAAGATGAAGGGGCTTTTCAAGTCCAAGCCACGAACCCCTGTTGATATCGTGCGGCAGACGCGTGATCTCCTCGTCTATGCCGGCCGCTCCCCCGATAATCGTGAATCCAAGAGGGAAGAGAAGGTCTGCTTACTAAAACACATTTAGTTCAAGCACATTAAATTGTTTCGGATTGGTTTGATTGCTATTCGACTTTTTTTCTTTTCGTTGTTGATCTGTATCGCTTTTTTTTTCTTTTTTGAATCTAAATATTTTGGAATATTGGCTTGGATATGAATTCAATTGATCAGAACATAGGATTAGGTTGCTAATGATTTGTGCTGATTTTGTAGAGGTTGCTCAGTTATTTGATTTACCGACGGTAGCATAGGTTCAGTGTCTGATCCTTATATTTGATCGTAATTTTGATGCAGATGGCCGAATTATGTAAAAATATAAGGGAGTTAAAGTCTATTCTTTATGGAAATAGTGAATCTGAGCCAGTCTCAGAAGCTTGTGCACAGCTGACTCAGGAGTTCTTCAGAGAGGACACGCTAAGGCTCTTGATCACTTGTCTTCCTAAATTGAACTTAGAGGTAACCAAATGGCTATAAATTTAGATGGCTTAACTTACAAGACAAAGTTTAGATATGCAAATTTTCCTTAGCAAGAGTTATTCTTGCAGCACTGGAAGTTTATCACACTTGTTGTTTCTATGACAATTTGACTAATTTCTTCGTTTGCAGGCGAGGAAAGATGCAACTCAAGTTGTTGCAAATTTGCAAAGGCAACAAGTGCAGTCAAAGTTGATTGCTTCTGATTACTTGGAAGCAAACATAGATATTATGGATATTTTATTAGCAGGGTAAGTGGCAATTGGAAAAGGTTTACTGAATTTATGATTACTTTGTTCTATTTTTCTTCTATTTTATTTTTTCTTGTTGGATGTTAAAGATTTATGTAATAATTGGTAGGTTGATTTTCTATATGACTTTGTTAGCACCTTGGATCTTTGTTTGTCTTCTCTTTTTCTCACTGTGTCAAGATCATGATAAGTTTCTGATGGTTTTCAGTATTCTGTCTTCTTCACTCAGTTAAGGAAAAGAGAATGTGTAGGCACTTCTGTTACTGGATTCTACTTATTGATCCAATCACATGCCTGCCAAACATTTTCCTTGTTTATAATGGAGCTATATGTCTAATTTATGGATGATATGATTGACATGATCTTTTGATTAGGCTGTGATATTGAGCTTTATTTTATAATCCGTCATTTTATCACTTTCTTCTGATTCTTAAATGTTGTCTATTCAGTTATGAAAACACAGACATGGCTTTACATTATGGTGCGATGTTGAGAGAATGCATACGGCATCAGACTGTTGCAAGGTGTGCATAGTCAACCAACTTAATTTATTCCTTCATAACTTGGCTTCTTGTCCTTTTTTTGATTATCAATGAAAAATCCAAGTCATCTCTAGTTCCTCTATCTAATCAGCTAGTGTTTCCACCATCTTTGCAAACAAGAGGCAATGTCATCCATTATTTCCTTCTGAACATTTTATGTCATAGAGAGCTTTATCTCCTAACAATTTTTAAAAGATAATCTTTAAATTAATTGAAGATATATTATTGGTTGTTAATGTCACATATCATTTGATTTACAGGTATGTTTTGGAGTCACAGCACATGAAGAAGTTTTTTAACTATATACAACTTCCAAACTTTGACATTGCTGCTGATGCTGCTGCCACTTTTAAGGTTGAGTATTGCTGATCAAACTACGTTAAAATAATCTCTTTTTCCTCTCTTTCTCTGCCTGTCTCTGACTGTTGCACTTCCAAATCTGCATTTGTCATTAGAATATAGTTTTAGAGTTTCAGAACAGCATGATGTTTGCTGTAATTTTTGATGTAGGAACTTGATTTACTTTTCGATTTTAACAAGTCTTTTTTCTTAAAAAAATTGTGGTTTGATGTTGAGTCATCCTCTCATGACCTTCCTCGTCTTCCTCCCTTCTTTCTTTAAGGGATTTTGAGTTTTGTGCTGACTGCTGGTGTCCTTTAATGTCTTTTTTTCTTACAGGAGCTCTTGACAAGGCATAAGTCCACTGTAGCTGAATTTCTTTCCAAGAACTATGAGTGGGTAGGTGTTACTCCTTCATTATAAATTGTGACGTTTTGTTGTTAAATGTGATCATGGTACTTCAATAATTATGTCAGCTCAAGACTACTATGGGTACTTCTTTTTTCTCTCTTTCCAGTACTGTCAGCCTGTAAATTGTCCCTTATAATCATTTTATTTGCTCTTTCATATTTGACTAGATGTTTTTGTCACATGGTTGTAAGTTGTATGCCACAATAGCTACATTAAGTGTCTCTGAAAATCTTCTTCATGCCTTTGTTTGTGTTGGAAATTTTCATTCACTAGAGCTGGATGAACTCAACCTTGTTTGTTGTTTCAGTTTTTTGCAGAATATAACTCAAAGTTGCTGGAATCTAGCAACTACATAACAAGAAGACAAGCTGTCAAGGTATGACATAAAAAAGAAACAGAGAGCATTGGAGTGATTATTTTTTAATTAAAACAAAAGCTTGGTGCGTTTAAATATGTTGGACTTCACATCAGTATTTTAAATCGTTTTTCTTAATGTTAAAGCTGCTGGGAGATATTTTGTTGGACCGCTCAAATTCAGCTGTCATGACGAGATATGTGAGCTCAAGGGATAATTTAAGGATTCTTATGAATCTTCTCCGGGTATGATAGTTCCCCAGATTTCTTGATTTCATGTTCCATTCTCCCACATTATTTTGGAATGATCAAATTTTCCGAGTGTGATGTCTTGATGTTATTTTATTCTAACAACATAAGCCATCCAACTTGGCCTACTGCATGTTGTATGTGAAGCTTTAAAAATGAAATAGCACACACAAGGAGTTACTATTGTCACAAATGTCATGCATAAGTTATCAAATAATGTTCTTTGTTAGTTTATGGTGGTAAATGTTAAGCATAATACTGTCTTATAGCTATCATTATCCCATTGGTTGCAACTATTGCGATTTTCCTGTTCAAGTATTAAACTTTAAAGGCTAAATAGTGAATTCATTTATTCACAGGAATCAAGCAAGAGCATCCAAATTGAAGCTTTTCATGTTTTCAAGGTATCATGTCAAATTTCTGTCTCCTCTTGGGAACATCTAGATGCTTTGTCGTTTGAAACATTAAATTGCTTACTCTTTCCTTTGGTTATTTACATTCTTTTGTCTATGTTTCTACAGTTGTTTGCTGCGAATCAGAATAAGCCTCCAGACATTGTTAGCATACTTGTTGCAAATAAAAGCAAGCTTCTGCGTTTGTTTGCAGATTTCAAGACTGATAAAGGTACAAAAAATAAACACATGTAACATTGTTTTTCCTCGTAAATTTCTAGATGTGTCACCTTATTTATGGTTTTCCTGTTTGATGTCTTGCAGAGGACGACCAGTTCGAGGCAGACAAGGCTCAAGTCGTGAAAGAAATTGCTGCCCTTGAGCCTAAAGACCGGCCATAGTAAGCTATAGTGTACTGTAATCTCTTTGGTTTGTTTTTGTAATATTATTAACACATATTGACTGTGAATCATATATAGTGTTCTCCTAGTCTTTTAGAAGGATGCATACCATGTAAAAAAAGGCTCTTCTTTTCTGTTCGCCTTTCTTAGAATCTGTGTTTATCATTATCTGTACTTCTCAATGTTTTGGATGTATGCCCCGATATAAACTTCTATGGACAGAGAAAGACGAAGGTGCCTGGTCTTTTTGGGAGGGTGAGGCTTGGGGAAGATAAAATAATGTTTATGAAATGTGAAGATAGAATAATTCTATGATATGAATTTATCAAGATACTTTGATTCAACTCTACAGTTGTGGTGTCAAATGCTTGTTACTTGGTGTTATGTGTTCTGAATTTGCTCGTTGTTTCTAGTAATTAATAAGCAAGAAACAAATAATATGTTATTATTCAAAGTTTGAAGCAAGATTGGCTGAAGTATTTTGGTATTCAAGGACTGCATTTACGAAACCAAGGGAGAATCCCGTTTTCCAGGAAATAAGTTTCCAGCTCTATGCAGAAAGGTGAACCCGTCCTTCAGACGTAGTCAATAAAATCACAAAGAACTGTGTCTTTTATTATGGAAACTCAATGACCACCTAAATCAATTCAAACACCATCAATTATTAGCAAGATCTCCTGTAGGAATCTGCTTAGCAACATTGGTGTTTTTTGGTTGAAGTTTCCTGAAAGCCCACGTACCCTTTTAGTCTTTGGCAAAGTTGAGAATAAGACAGGCGCCATGGGGCTATGGGGGCCATGGGCAGAGGTTGTAGGAAGCTTCGCAAGACTGATGGACTATTTGCAATACCTTTTACAATCCCTGGTCAGTGATTAGCCTAATGCCTTCAACTTTTGGAAGAGGAGAACAATGAGGTCATTTTCCGTTGGTGGGTGAAGAATGGAGAATGGAGGTGGAGCCAGGGTAATGGATGTCATGGATATGGGCTTTTCACAATCACAACAAGGTCATGCGATCTTGTGATGTGAAACTCATTGGTGTCACGAGTCAGAAAAGAGACGAGGAGAGAGGAGAGAGGAGATCAAGTGAGCAACGGCACCCGTACCTAGGTCATTTGGCACATTGGCATATTCTATGGATCTCCTCCTCCTGTCAGGTCTCGAGACTAGAATAACCTCCATACTTCAAAGTTGCTACACCATATGCCCCTGATTCCCTTGGAATCATATTCACTGGAATTTTTTTTTTCTAATATTTATTATCACAAATTACATATTAATAAAAGATGAAATTTAAAAAATTATATATATTTTTTTAAATTAAAATATGAAATTGACATTTCCATCTACAGTCAAGCGGGCTAGTCGTTCCTAAGTAATATTATAAAAAATGTATGGTATGATGAAGCAGCACTTTGATTCAGTACCATCAATATAGATTTTGTAGTAGGGTGGTAGGTGAATATATGCCTTAGTTTATACTCTAGTAGTTAAGAAACAGGAAAGTAACACCAAACCCCATGCTAGAAAGGGTTGTTTAAGTTTGAATGGTATTTTATAACGTGGATGGCATGAAAAAGAAAAAAGTAAAAAATAAAATAAGAAAAGAATGAGAAATCCAGGGGCATTTGTTTCTCGCAAATTGTGCATATAAACCCGACACATGGTCTGTTTTTGTTTATTGCTTTGCTTCTTCAGGTGCTACGTCAAAAGCTCTTCCAACATCTACTCAATTACCCCAGAACCACCAATCCATCATTGATCAACGCTTCTTGCACTTTCTCTTCACAAAACGATTTAACATGGCTGACAATGGTAGGTCCCCCCAGTTTTCTTTTCTATTCACTTTTTACAAGTATTATTCTTTAGATTTTCTATGGGTTTATGTGGCTCATTTTCTATGGGGGATTTTAATTTCTTGTTCTGTAAATTCTGTGGATTTCAGGTTCTTTTGAAGAGTTCTTGGCCACTGCAGTCGATGCAGCTAAGAAAGCTGGCGAGGTTTATTCAAGATTCCGTTTTCTTTTTTCTTTTTTCACATTTTCCTTCATTGATTTGTTCATTTTGATTCTCTTACCGTGTTTTCTTTTGCCTTTTTCTTTCTTCTTTGCTGATTTTGTAGATAATCCGTAAAGGGTTTTACCAGACCAAGCATGTGGAGCATAAAGGCCAGGTTTGTTTTATACTCTCTCTCTCAAATTTGGATTAAACCACATTTTGATTTTCACTTGAAGTTTCCCATCTCTGGTTAGCTTGCCATGAAATTCATGTATGATAAGGGTGTTAAAATCATCAATGTTGATGAATTACTGGAGGTTCAACCAGTGCTTTCATTGGTTAATACCAGAGTAGCAGGTGCAACTATGTTCTCTGATCTTCCTAGAGGTTCTTGGGTTGATTTCATCTTTTAACTCTCTGAATCTTATAAGTCTTGACAAAAGTAAAAACTGTTACTTTCCAGTTTAGAATTGAAAATGGCTTCTTACAAAGTTTCTAGTTATCTAAATTCAGGTGGATTTGGTTACGGAGACTGATAAGGCATGTGAAGATCTTGTATTTAATCATCTCAAGCAGCATTACCCCTCTCACAAGGTTAGCATTTTTTATCTAATTCTCTACGATGTATCTATCAAGATTCAAAATTTCTGCTTGAAAATACAATCTAGCTGGCTCAGTAGTGAACCATCTTTTCTGATTTGCTGTAATTGCCATTTTATTGTAGTTCATTGGGGAAGAAACTACTGCTGCTTATGGTACATCAGAGCTGACTGATGAGCCTACCTGGATAGTTGATCCTCTTGATGGAACAACTAATTTTGTGCATGGGTTATAATTTTTCCTCGACTTGTGACTTGTGTTTTATCTCATATGTTCAGTCATTTTGATGTTTCTATTGTTGCAACCATGTAGGTTCCCCTTTGTCTGTGTCTCCATTGGTCTTACAATTGGAAAGGTTCCTACAGTTGGTGTTGTTTACAATCCAATAATGAATGAGGTGAGAATTGCTTTTATGATAATGAAGGTTGCCAGAATCTGGAGTTGTGTCTTTTTTTTTCCTATCACATGTTAAATAAATATTACTTGGTTTCTGTGCAGCTCTTTTCTGGTGTAGTTGGAAAAGGTGCTTTTCTCAACGGAACCCCTATAAGAGGTGAATCCAATGCTCTTGATATATTGGTCTCAAATTTCCTTTCAACTGCCAAGTGAATCTCTAAAAGCTGTGTTCTTTTGTTCTGAAATTTTGCAGTATCATGTCAAACTGAACTTGTGAAGTCTCTCCTGGCAACAGAGGTGTGAACATTCTTATGTTCTAAAATTTCAAACCTAACTATTTTTTGTTTGTTGGATGAAACTGAACTTAATCTTGCCTCCATCTTCCGATCCTGTTTTACAAAAGGTTATCACATTATTGCTAACAGGTTGTTAGCGAATATTGTTAAGACTAATTGACACAATAAAGTTGTCTGTCTTCACAAGCATGTAAGTTTTGAACAAAGTTTGTCCTTTTGAGCAGGCTGGAACAAAACGAGATAAGTTAACTGTGGACACTTCTACAAATAGAATCAATAGCTTACTTTTCAAGGTAAAAGCAAAACTGTGCATGGATTGATTCTTTTGTTACATTGTGTTGAAATCCATAATGCCTTCCTCTGATTAACAGGTGAGATCTCTTCGGATGAGCGGTTCCTGTGCATTGAACCTTTGTGGAATTGCATGTGGAAGGCTTGACCTGTTTTACGAACTTGGATATGGGGGTCCATGGTATGCTTTCAATCATGTCATGTTTGAAGTTTGGTATTTGGTACATGATTGACTCTGTCTGCCTATATGATCAGGGATGTGGCAGCTGGTGTTTTAATCGTTAAAGAAGCTGGAGGCCTTGTGTATGATCCGTAAGTACATAACATAGTCGACTATGCACTCTTTCTATTTTCTTCCAAATCTAATAGGGTGAGATGAGAAGTTAATGGCAAGAAGTAGCAGCCTTCCACAGTATGCAATGTGAAATTTCTAAATCCGAGTTAGAAATTGTAATATGATGTTAATAGTTTTTGTTTATCTAACGTTAGAACCAACATACAGAATCTGTTGAAGCCTGAAGTTCATAGTTATGTTGGCCATTTCAAGGTTTTTTGTTTTTCAATCAGGTTTGGTAAAGAATTCGACATCACAGCTCCACAAGTAGCTGCTTCAAATCCATCCCTGAAAGATGCATTTGTTAAGGCTTTGCAGCATTCAGAATGAGGCAGCATTGATAATCTACATTCTTATCTTATATTAAGTTGCTTTGTTCTTGTTGTCACCATCATCATGTGGTTAGTTAAAGACACCTGTTTTCGGGAGATTGTTGAATTCGAATAGGCGTGGCCCTGAATGGTGCCAGATTTTTTTGTAGAATCCAATTTGAGATGACAACTCCATGATTGGCAATATAACTTTGCTTTTCTTGAATTAATGGATTGTAGTGGTAGTACTTTTTGATGAGCTTATGATATACATGCCCAGCAATGATCTTTGCATCTTTTCCAACATTTGCTGAGAAGTCTTATTCAAGCATTATAGCCCAAGTTGTTTGAGAAACAGATATAAGTATATAACAAGGAAAAGAGTATAAGAAAAAGTATAAAAGAAACAGACAGACGTATCCTCTAGTAGCATGTAGAATACAATGTACAACCAGAGTTTCCTAGAACTACTTATGGTCTATGAAAGAATAACATCTAATCCTGAAATCCCTCAGAAAATCTCATACATAAATATAACTGAGGGTGCAGCATCATGCCTATCTAAGTAAAAGGAAAAAGGAAACAAGAAAAACCCAAAAAAGCCAGAGAAGATACATAAAGAAAAAGTTTCTAAGCCTGCTGTGGCCTAGCACCACGGCTGTTAACCCCATTTCCATTTGCACCATTGACGCCATGAGCCATCTTTCGAGCACTTTCTGACCTTTTCCTCCTAACCACAACAAACCATGTGTAGGCTTCCAACATGAAAGCATTGAAGGCCAAAGCCACGATGATACCAATGTAAGCATTCTTCCACTTCTTCTCAGGTTTCAGGATGTCGAATCCCTTGAATATGTTGATGACACTAAGGATTATGACAGTGTATCCCACCAAATGGTGGTAGATGTTCCAGTAGAATCTGAGTTTGTGGTCTGGTTTTGGCCTTAGAAGCAAAGCAAATACCTAAAACCAAATCGAAAACTCAGTCAGTACGCACTACATTTACCAATCTCAGTCATTGAGTTTATCTGTGTTTTTGAGTACCTGAAGTGTTGCAAGACAGAAAAGGATGATCCCAATGGTTCTGTGAGCATCATATTGAATGCCAGGGGATTCACTGCCGAGTTTGAGACCCGTACCCCATCCGGCAACACCAACAACATATGCTGAGAATTGACAAGAAGCGTGCAAATAAAACCATGCAGGATCCGCAGATTTGAATACCTTCAAGTACCTTGCTATCATAGCACCGATAGGCATCAGGATACCCCAACTGACTGTGTTTAACACCCCATGAATCTGAGATATTTATTGCAAGGAATCAGTAAGTCTTCAGGTTTGATTAAATTTGATTGCCCAAAGTAACAATTTATAATTTGCTTTTCTAAGTATCAGTGAATTTTACATCTGAACAGGATCTTAACGCTTTAGGCAAATCAACAGAAGAAACTTTCTTATCCCCTGAATCAACTTTCTTGTCAACAACAAATAAAGGAATACCATGAAATCTATTAAATATTTCAAAAACAGAGTCAGCGCAGAGCAGCCTAGAAACAGAAGTGATCCATTGTAAAACAGACAATCTCGTCATAACTAAGCTACACCGATTCAAATTGAATAACCAGATATATGGAAAGAGAAGAGAAAAGAAAAGAGAGAAGTCTGTAAAGCACATCTATTTTGTTTGTATTCATTAACGAAGGTCATCCACTTACGTTTCGCTTTCTAAGTCTTGAACTTCCTCCTCCAGCTGCTCCAGCCTCACCAGAGACCAGATTCAAGGTTCCCACAGACTGAACGTTGGTGCCAGAAGTAGCATGCATCTGTGGGGTGTTCCCAGAGAGGGCACCTTCTTGCCACACTTGGTTCAGAGTAGTGCCATTATTGGAAAGTTCCAAGGTAGCAAATATGATAATCTCACTGTTTGCATACGTCGCGGATAAGTCCGAGACATCAAAGTTAAGATTACCCTCTCGCAGCTGCGTTTGGTATTGAGTGATGGGTGATTTGTAGACTCTCATGCTTCCATCGGTCTGTTGATAGGCAACAAGTGCCTGTGAGCCGACCATGCCTGTTGAGGTCGGGTTTATGGCCCATGCAACCCATCTGGAGGAAGTGATCCCCGTGTGCCTGTAGGCAATCTCAAGCTTTTCTGACGAGTCATAGTTATAATGAAGAAAGGAGTTCAGGACGGGAAGATCAGTGCATGACCTGAAGACGCGGTTGCTAGAGAAGGCATACTTGGCACAAGTTTGTGCATTGGATGATAAAATCAAAGACACAAAGAGAGAGAGAGATAGAACAAGTTTGAACAACATTCTTGCCATGGCGACCAGGTCCCTTAAACTGAAAGGGACTGCAATATGTTTCCCTGACAGATGATGGAAAGCGTTTCTTTGCGCAAGGGTACCTCCAAGACAACAGAACAGATGGAACTAAATAAGAAGATACTTTGCAGGGAAGAAAAGAGGAGGGGCTAATATAAGAGTGAGGGGCCCTTCAAAGAGAAATATATAAAAGAGAGGGGGAGGGTGCTGTTGGGTTGTTTGTTGGTCGGTTTGATAAATTTTTATCATATGTTGAGTTTGGACAACTACGAAGTTTGATCAGAAATCAAGTTCACATTATACTAGTTCACATTATACCAAAAAAAATTGAGAACTAGATTTATTCTAATATGTATGTTGCTTTTTTCTTTTCTGGAAAGCACTGTTTTCACCACCATCTCTTTACCCAACTTCAACAGCATATGACGAATGTCTTTTAATAGGTTCCAACTTGCAAGGAATTCGAGGAATATATGTTCTTCTACAACTATAGCGTATGTCAACGCCACATGTAATCAAGTGACATACATGCATGCCTGCATGTATACATACATACATATGGCATGATCTGGACTACAAGACTACAAGACTACAATCTACAATGGGTTTCTCTCAGAGTTACAAAAAGGTCATAGTAGTAATTCTATAGAGTGAATCAAATGGTCAACTCGAACTTAAAAATGAAGTTTGAACACTCCAGCAGATTCAAATCTTTTGCGTAGTATATTTTATTCTCACGTTCTGATGCTTTTTTCATGGTTCAAATTTAAAAACCCAGGCTGTCAAACAAGCTGCGCGGGGAGTTTAATTAATGGTTGAATGCGAGTCTAGGTTGGAGCGTTTGGGACCATCCGAAACGTGTCAAAAGCTTGAACCTATAAAAATGCCCGGTTCCCAGACCTGATTAACAAGAACTAAGCAAGACAAAGAGGAAAGGGCCAAAGAGGAGGGGATTTGTTGGGGGTTAGGTATGAGGTAGGAGAGATGCTTTTCCCAGGTCAAAACGACTCCAACCAAATCCTAACCAGCCTCATTCGTGGCACCATAGGGCCCGTCTCTTCCAGCTAGCTTCACCATCCAACATTTCGCGGCCCAAGGCCAAGAGGGTACCCACTCCACCACCGTCACCATTTGTATTCGTCCTGGCCTAGATTGCTGCTGCTGCTACAGTTTCTTGTCATTTCTACATCATCCTCTTCTGTCATGTTTGAAAGTCCGTTCTAAATTAGTTTAAAACATATGGGAGTAATACTTCATTGATTAATCTCCTTTGTCAAACCAACTACACGACAGAGTCAGAGGATTATCTGCGCTAACTGCAGAGTTTGTGATGTTTCTTTGACAACATTTCTGCTTGTAATTGGAAGACAACGTCAGTTTTGCCTCACAGTTGTTAGACACTAAGCTCCCCATTTTCTCATTTCAAGCATCTTTGTCTTCCTTCTTTCTTTTTTACTCTCATATTTTCTTGGTTATGTTAATAGTTGGACAAAACCACGAAACATGTCGTTAGAATGATGTCATTACATGAACTGTTTAGATCCAAAGCAAATTAATTAAATCGTAGACAATGGTTTACTGTCTGCATGAACAGTAATGGTAACAGTCGTTGCAGAAACTAGAAACCTTGGTATTGAAATTGTAAGGCAAGCATGCGTCAGGTGGCCACAGGACAAGTCTTTTTCTCTATATTTGATTAGAGACATAATTAGAGAAACGCTGCTTTCATGGCTTCTTTTGCAGCCAATGAGCATTCCAGCATAGCTATATGTCCCATGCATGGATCATGCCAAGAGCTTCAAAATAAGTAGACAGGGTGCTTCGATGGTCGGAGGATCCTGGAGAGCTTATAAACATATACGCTGCATACCTTATTAGATTAATTTTTTCAAAAAAGAATATGATCTCGTGACACATGCATGTTAAAATAACATTTCAGGGTTCGAGAAATCAAACTCCCGTTTTCATATCCTTCACGGTATTCGGTATGTTCTGTCGCATTAATCGCTTAACTTCGAGCTTTGATGTTTGACAATGCCTGTTTTGCATGTGAAAACGTTCTTTATCAATCACCGAAAGTCACATTTCAGACCTTTCCTTAGCTAGCTTTCCACGGCTCATCCCAGTTTATCTCCCCCAACCACCCACAAATTTCTCCCTCGTCCCTTAATCGAGTAAGGCTTGAAACAGAAAAATACAAACTTCATAAAGACATCATCGAGTATGAGAAAGAACTTCACCGGAAGAAAACAAGAGATACGTAAGTGTTTGATGGCTTTGGCGTTTGCTGAGGTTGGTGAGATTGTGACTAATCCGAATTATCTAAGTTAAAAAATCATAGGGTACTTGTCCATTTTTCATTACTCCAAAAGATGATTACCTGAAACCAAAGATTGTACTGGTTGTGTATCTTTGTTTTGTTGACCAAAATAAGGAGTTAAACGGCTTTCGTGTGGGTTTTATATAAATTGATCTTTCTACAATCCAACGCCCATAGATCCCAACTCTTCACCCACCCCTTCTATTTTGTGCTTAGTCTAATCTCTCTCTTCTTCTATCACTATGGCTTCCCTATACTCCCAAGAAACCTAAAAATGTCATAGCTTTTCTTTTCTTTTCAGTTTTTCCTCTATGATCAATGTTTTATATATGATACTATACTATTTCAAAGCGACAGCATAATTATAGTTGGATTGTTGTTATCTAGTTGTTTGATATCAAGAATATTTTCGTTATTCTTAAAAATTTAATAAGTAAGAATGACATTTTCATATTTAATAATTAGAAACATTTTTTTCAAAACGTTGCCTTATCATGAAAATGTCGTTCTTATAATAAAAAAAAATGTGATTTGCATTGCAACAAGATGCAAAGTTAAACTTTTTTTTTGTAACGAAAAAGTTAAGAAATATGATAAGTCTAAGATAATCGTTTGAAATTTAGATTGATTTTTTTTTATAATATTTATTTGATATTAATTTTTAACATGTTCCTAAAATCACTTATATAAAAAATCAAGAATTTAATTTAGTGATAAATGCATGTATGTATTTAAATTTAAATCGAACCTATCATATTTAGGAATTATTATGGACTGACCCGAAATGTCTCAAATCAAAAGCACACGGTGGTTGAGTCCATCAATCGTGGACCTTGCCCCTGCAGGGCCACACCTTAGACTGAGGCTACATTTCACTTTTGGAGTACTTAGTGGTCTGAAAAGAACCAGAAATGATCAAAAAAAACATTTTGGACCATGCCGTAGCCCTAACCCCCAGCCCAATTGAGCGAAACGTTTAGGACAACACAGAGGCTGAGCTGGGCCAAAAGATCTCTAAGCCTAACACAACAGGGACCCTGGTGGAACCCATGACATCAACTAGAATTATTGGCCTCTGCCTAAAGTTCAAGGAATACCAATAAATATTAAAAAAAAAATGGATATGGGGACATTTGCTTTTTATTTGGCGCAATGGCAAGGGCAAAGGGTAGGTGCTTACTGCTGAACCGAGGGGGCAAAGGGTGCGATGGAAGTGGTGCGTTTTTCACCACCCATTTGGCCATTTTCAACCTAGAAACAGGCTCGGCCATGTCCATATACATGGCTTAAATATGATCTTTAATTGAAATGGTGATAAATTTACCAACTTAATCATAATAAAACCTTTTCACTTCTTATCAATTGGTTTCAAATTCAATATCCGTTTTAAGAACTTAACATGACTATGAACTTCTTCTCGTGTGGCGTAAAAGATATTTAAATTATTGGCCATTAATTTTAAGTTAGATTCGGGCAATAACCCACCGGGTTCAAAAGTCAAATATCCCTATCAACTTTCCGTATCTATTACCATCAATCATATTCTCTGGGTTTATTTCTCTTGTTTGAAGGGCAAATAGCGTTTTCCCTCAAAAGTGTCCATCAGCAGCAGTCCTACTCGCTGCTCCCACTACTCAGGATAATGCCGCATATATATTTAACCCTTTTTCTTTGTAAGTCTCCTTGCAAATTTGCTTACGAATGTTTTAAGAATCTTCCTCCCACAAGGGACAAGTTGTTTTTCAACGAAGGAGGTCATGGGCGTTCAATTTTTTTTTTTCCCATCTTTGAATTGGTTCAGATGTGCCGCCAAAACCTACCATAAAGTGCGAACCATTCACCTGTACCGACAGACAGCAAATCTCCTCCTCTCTTCTTCGTTAAATCCACTGTGTTACTATGAATTTACCATGTTTGAATGAGTGGTTTGGAAGTTGCTATCTAACAGTACCCACACGGGCTACAGACCCAAAGCTGTTTACGTCAAAGGTGCATGTCTCTTGCATGCTGCACGCTAACCATTTTTGACTTAAAAGTTTTTTACAGACGGAGGGAGTACTGATATATAAATAGATGTTAACATCGAAACCACGGTTGCACTGTCAGCAAGCACTATTAAATTCATAAAGCAGGGTTTAGTTGCCTTTGGCTTGACAAAATTGAATGGATTACGTTTAAAGCGAGTCATTATGACCTTGATTACGATACATTTTTGGCTGTGTATGACAACCCCATAGATAGACATGACACAGAGAGAGAGAGAGAGAGGTATTGTTTCATCTAGAAAGTTGTCACTGGTCTCATCGTTTGGCTAATATTTCAAACCCTATCTTCGCCATTGCCAGTTGACTTTCTCGATTCTCATCTCAACTTCATTTAACATTTTCAGTGGGTTTAATCGTCATGAATGTCAATGCTTCAACCACTGGAGAGCTTTGCCGAGCAATGGCGTGAGAGAGGGCATGTGTGGTCCGTAGTTCCCAGTTTGGAAAGCTGAAACCCGAAGGGTATTTTCTCTAACACGGATTTAACTCGCTATGTATGAAGAATCAACAGCGGCGGAAGTCATGACAGCTCCAATGGAAAACTATGGGAACAGTATTACCCACAAGCTTGTAATTCTTTCCTCTAATACAAAGTAATCCGGAGAATTCTAAGTTAGACCCGTGCAAACATAAATACTTAATTATTTCCGTCTCGTTTTCTTAATTTTTTTTAATTATAAACAACTAAAAAATGAAGAAAGTGAAGAACAATCATTCAAGTGATAATTATAAAAATCTAATCCTCTCGAGTGTACAATGTATTCGTGTTATGACCACATGAATATAAATAATAATTAATTTTAAAAAAATAATGTCTTCCATCAGTTTAGTGGACGCTTTAATACAAGGTTTTTGAACAATTCAAAACCCCACTCGATTGATTTCCAGATAGTTCTTACTTTTCCTTCGTACGAACTCAAAAGAAAGATAAAATCACAAAAAGTAAAACAATTGTTCATGGCGACCACTTGTCCTAAACCCAAAAGAATCATTTACGAGTCTGCGCAGCCATCATGAATCTCACCGAGGGATATTTACACAAAAGTAAAAGTTTATGTTTATATTTAAATTTTTTTTGTGGGGATAATTAAAGGCGCCAAAAAAAATAAAGCAAAGGAAAGTGCTGGTCTGAGTGTCCGGCCACTACCGTCCAGGATCATGGCCGATGGTCCCTGGTCCATCCAAACTCACCTCGCGTCGCTGCTCTTAGTACAACTGGCCGATGCAACTTCTCTTTGTCAAATGCGCGTAATCATGGATCACACTAGGTTTTTAGTTCAACTAAAACCTTCATCTTCTTATCACAAAAATAATAATTAATTATTTTTTCTTCCAAAATATCTTGAAATAAAAGGTTTTTTGAAACACATAATATCAAATATGTCAAAAATTAAAATTAAAATTAAAATTAAAATTTTATTTTTTAAAAAAATTAAAAAATAATAATAATAACAATAATAAATGCATGTACTTACCATATAATTATTCCTTGTATTTATTGTATAACACGTGATGTCAAGGCTAGTGTATGAAAATAATTTAATAATTCATATTTCATTTTCATGGGGATTGTTAAATTTTGTCTATATTATGATCAAATTATAAATCACACAATTTTATCTTATTTGTTTATATATAGACTTTTAAAATTTGGTAGACTAATGATATCCTTTGAATAATAATATTAATATCATAATAGTAGATTTATTTATTTGAACTACGAAATTGATACCATTGACAAGCCACAAAACCAAGATTAATTTAAGTGAAGACTTCAAATTACTTTGTAATTATCCGAATAAGCAAATTAAATGTACGAAATCTATTCGGCTGAACTTGGAGACGAGACAAGATTAGACAATTATTCGAAAAACCAACAATAAATTAACAAAACTTCAATCACATATTTTACTTTCAATTTACATTAATTAATTGTGTTTTTAATTATAATTACATGTAGGGACAAACACAATCTTTTTCAAACTTAAATTAATGAGAGTCGTTAGGGTGCCAAACAACTCAGCCTGTTGCATGATAAAGCAACAAAAACATAAATTAAAAAAAAATACCAAAAATCAAAGTTTGCCCCTCTCCTTCTTAGGCTGCAAATAAAATAATTAGTACTAAGTACTATATCTGCTAATATTAATATTAAAATGAAAGAGTATGCATTAAGGGAAAGATTATTCAAAACGTACGTAAACATATTAGAGTAGGGTGACAAGAAATTAAATAAATAAGGGCGCTTTTTAAGCTTTGGGGCGGCTACCTAATCCAAAGTTTTGCCTTATGCAGTGAAAGATTTAGGTAGCGTATTAATGGAGATTAGAGGTTAGGGCAAGTGAGCTAATCAAAATTGGCTTGAGGAGACTGGGAAAATAATCAAAGGATTTTGGTGAGCTAGTTGATTTTGAATGTTGAAATTCACCTCTTCGCACAAGCCAACCTCCATTCATCTCTGTTGCCAGAATTTACTGTAGTTGAGGATTGTTTTTCCCTACAACTTCTTCGAACACGATTCAAGAATAATATCAAATTAAATAAATTTATATTTAAAGATTATTGTATTTTGTGTCTTAGATATATTGATATGCTTAAAACATGATAATTTTGTATTTTAAACGAATTAAATTATCTTAACTCGTGTATGACGAGTTTAACTCATTTAAGTAGTTGTGATATCACGCTAATTTATACTCTTTAACTTGTTTAATCTATTTATAATACATATTTAAATAAATTAATTATGTTTAAATGAATTTTATCATATCATAACAATTTAATTTGATTTATTTAATAAATATATTAATTGCATTGTACATATTCACATTGATAAGTGTAATTATTTATATTTCATACACTACCAAATGAAAATTGTTAAGCGAAAAAGTCCTTTGAGCTAAGCCTCTAATTGTAAAACACGTGTTGTTAAAACAGACTCTGCATACGTGGCTGATGTGGCCTATTGAGCATTTGAGTTAGCAAATGCCTAAGGGCATGCTTGGTTAGGGGAAATAGAATAGTTATTCTTTTTCTATTCTTATTTTTGAGATAAAATTATATTTAATACATGCTTAGTTAGGGAAAGAGAATAGTTATTTCTTCTTTGTTCTCATTTTTTAAATAAAGGTGCATTTGGTTCAATGAAATAGTTATTTTTTGAAATAGCCATTTCAAGATAAACCTGAATAGCCATAACCAAGCCCCTCTTGATAATAGTTATACCAAATTGTTCAGAATAAGAAAAAAAGTTAATTAGACAAATATACTCTTTTACAATTTAAAAAATTACTTTATAAAAAAATACTAACGCACAGAAGATATAAAATTTTTGCTTCATTTTCAAAAAAAAAAGAGAAATGAAAATATTGAAATATTATTTAATATAATAATATTATTTTACTATAATAAATATTATAAAGAATATTATTTAATATTATTATTTGAATATAATAAATGTAATAAAGAATAATATTTAGTATTATTTAGATTTAAGGAAGAATATATTTTGTCTTTTAATATAAAATATTATCTAATTATAATAAAAGATTTAATATCTCCTCAACAAAATATTATTAAATTATAATAAAAATATATTTATATTTTGTGAAAATATTATTTAATTATAGTAAAAGTTATTTTGATTTTATTACTTATAATATTTTTATCTTTTAATAAAATAAATTCTTTACTTTTAATAAAGAGTATCTCTTTCTCATCATAGTATTTTTATTTTTAATTAAAAAATCTTAATAAAGGGTTTTTTTTATCATTTACCCATTGTACCTTAACTATTTTTAAAATTATTTTTACCAACCAAACAATAAAATTAATAATAATAGCAATTTATATCCTATTCCATTCCTATGAACCAATCTACATAATAGTTATTATTCCCTTATTCTATTCTCTTTGAATAGTTATTCTATTCATTTCAATGAACCAAGTATGCTATTAGTTCGATGGAATGACTATTTTGAGTAAATAGAGATTATATAAGAAACCTGAATAGCCATTACCAAGGGTTTTTTGGATAATTGCTATTTCGAATTGTTAGAATAAAAAAAATTGATTAGATAAAAATATCATTTTATAATTTAAAAATTTACTTTATAACATAATATTAAATTTATTTTTTCTCTGCCCTCCTCACTCTTTCTCTCTCTAAAGTACTAAAAACAAAAAATTTTTACTTTATTTTCAACACAAAAGAAATGAAAATATTTAAAATTTTCAATATATTAGCATTATTTAACTATAATAAATATTAAAAAATATTGTTTAATATTATTATTTGAATATAATAAATGTAATAAATAATATTATTTAGTATTATTAAATTTAATGAAGAATATATTTTATTTTTAATATTAAATATTATTTAATTATAATAAAAGGTTCAATTATCTTCTAATATAAAATATTATTAAATTATAATAAAAATATATTTGTTTTTTATTTTATTACTTAGAATATTTTTATCTTTTAACAAAATAAATTCCTTAATTTTAACAAAAAATATTTTTATCATTTACTACTTATTTTTTAATTATTCTTAAAACTGTTTTTATTAACTAATTATTAAAATAAATCATAATAATAATTCTTATCTTATTTTATTTTCATAATTTAAATTAAATAATAATTATGTTTTCATTTTATTTTTATAATATAACGACTTTATTACTCTTTTATTTCATTCTAGGAAGCAACCGTCCTAAAATTATTCTTATTCATCGTACTTTGGCTCGAAAACCAGAAGCGCTCTCGCTGTTAGATTTCGATCCGACGGCCACATTGTTTCTTCATCCCAAAAAAAGTACACGAAAAGCCGAGTTGGCACCACGTGTCCTTCATGCCTCATATTACAACTGTAAACTGACTCCCAAAGCAGAAATTACAGCAACCGCCTCAAAATTTGTTAGAAGTCGTCACTGAAGCCATTCAATTTCAATTTTAATCAATTCGGTCATTAATCTATTGATAATGAAGCCATGAAGAAGAATACTTAATTAATAACTCACGGCACATAAATTATAAGAGAATGACCCCCAAATGGAAATACGCATAAGAGAAAGGGCCATAGGACAATTGAAACTAAGTTGAATGACCATCGTAGAATTTACCCTTTTTTGAATAGCAGGCGTCCGTGGAGAGAAAAGTTTTTTTACTGTGGCGTCAGCACTTTCACCAGGTTGAAATTCGCAGCCAGAACAGGGTTGAGTTTCAAAAGCGATGACCACCGTCACATCTACTTTACTTTGCACCATCGTAGAATATTTTTAAAAAAAGACCAATGTCTTGCGTTGGGCCCACAGGAAATGACCTGACAAGACCAGAAACTGACCACGTGTTATTTTATCTAGTCTGTCAATGGTTTGTCTTTTTTATTTTTTCACGGACGGTGACTATAGTTTTACCGCCCAGATGCCAATGCCACCCGACAAAGGCAAATCCAGGCCATAAAATCGAACCTCGCCCCCCCTTGCTCTTCTTCACACACACTCTCTCTCTCCCTCTTTATCTTAGTCTCTCTATTCCACCATGAAATGAAGTTCTTTTGAAAACCATAAAGCAGTTGCTGAATTGCAGTGATTACTGTTAGTAGTTCTTAAGATTGTTTGTTTTGTTTCTAGAAATGGTTTCTCTGGAAGATTCTCACTCGAATTCGAACCGGTTTCCGCTGGGTCGAAACTTCTACACACCAGGTTCTGCTTCGACCACCAAAATCCACCGACACACGGGGCGGTCCATGCGGACCGTACGCTCCAATCTCTACCAAAACGACAACAGCAGCTGCTCCTTCACCAGCTCCGTCCCTGAGAGGTCTGGATTCGTCTCCGAAAATCTCACGGAATCCGTCATCGACATGCGTCTCGGAGAGCTGGCTTCCAAGAGCAAATCGGTTAAGTCTGAGTCAGAAAGCGAGGGCTTTTTGGACATTTCTCTAGCGTTCAGTGATTTCTCTGCTTGTAGCAGCGATATATCCGGTGAGTTGCAGCGGCTGGCGAGCTTGCCGTCTCCCGAAAACAGGTTGGGAAATGAGAATAGTAATAATGGAGCTGAGCCTGAGCCGGAGCTGGAGCCGTGCCACGGCTTTCTGCAGAGAGAAAACTTCTCGACTGAGATTATCGAGAGTATTTCGCCAGAGGATCTTCAACCGACGGTCAAGATCTGCATCGACGGCCTCCAATCCCCGTCCATTGCGGTGAAGCGATCGGCTGCGGCTAAGCTCAGGCTACTAGCTAAGAACCGCGTGGATAACCGTGCGTTAATCGGAGAATCAGGTGCGATCCCTGCTCTGATTCCTCTTCTACGAAACAGCGATCCTTGGACTCAAGAGCACGCAGTGACTGCGTTACTAAATTTGTCACTTTTCGAAGCGAACAAAACACTGGTTATAAATGCTGGAGCTATAAAATCGTTAGTGTATGTTCTCAAGACAGGAACTGAAACCTCCAAGCAAAACGCCGCATGTGCACTTCTGAGCTTAGCTTTGATTGAGGAAAACAAGACTTCCATCGGAGCATGCGGGGCAATCCCACCACTGGTATCTCTTCTGATGAATGGATCCAACAGAGGCAAGAAAGATGCACTGACGACCCTTTATAAGCTCTGTTCGGCAAGGCAGAACAAAGAAAGGGCGGTAAGTGCGGGTGCAGTTAGGCCTCTGGTGGGGCTGGTGGGAGAGCAAGGGACCGGGATGGCGGAGAAGGCGATGGTTGTTCTCAGTAGCTTGGCGGGGATTGAGGAAGGAAGGGAAGCTATCGTGGAGGAAGGTGGGATTGCGGCACTGGTGGAGGCGATCGAGGATGGTTCTCTCAAGGGGAAGGAGTTTGCGGTGTTGACACTGTTGCAGTTGTGTGCTGATAGCATAAGGAATCGTGGGTTGCTTGTTAGGGAAGGTGGGATCCCTCCTCTTGTGGCGCTTTCTCAGACCGGGAGCGTTAGGGCTAAGCATAAGGTAATTTTAGTTTATATTGGTTGACTTGTGTTTGAATCAAGATAAAGAAATAACTGTTTCTCAAGTACCTTATTTCTTTGATTGATTGCCGGTGGATAAAGTTGAATGCTTGATAATCACTAGATTGTAAATAGCTTGTTTCTTGTTCCAGTGCAGTTTATGGTTGACTGAATTACTTGATTTATTAACATTACTCGTTATTAAGTAGTTTCCCTTGGATGATCAGAACTGAGCATTTGCTCAGACTGCTGAGGAGTTGTTATCTACACTGTACTACGTAACATGAGTGTTATCTACACAATGCTGAGTTTTGCATCAATTGAATCCATACATTCATATGTTCAAGAATAAGTAATATTTGCTTCATATTAACTGCTGATGTATTTAATAAATGTTAATTTTGCAGGCTGAAACACTGCTTGGATACCTGAGAGAACCAAGACAAGAGGCTTCCTCATCCAGTCCTTAGAGAAGACGATGTTTAATTACTGATAGAGGTAATTATACTAGGTTATTGGTTTTTTTTTTTGGATATAGGGAGTGTTTGATGGTTTGTACAGTGTGGTTGAGAAATTTGGGAGAATGATTGTACAAGTAAAAAAGAAAAAATTAGGGGAGGCTAGTGTGCAAGAGACTGACTTTTTAGATGTATGATTTTGACTAGGTTTTTGGGGTTTTTGTTTTGACCTTTTTCCCTCTTATTGACTTATGCTCTCAATGGTGGAATTGCCGTTTGGCTTGTGGGTTTTGGGTTGATTTGATTTGGGTTATTTTCCTCATGTTTTGTCTAGGTGACCCAAATTCTATTGCATAGGTCTACAGAGTACTGATTGTCTGTTTTTAACATAGTGAAGATGAGAGTTCGTTGATATGCTCTGCCTCTGAGCATTTTTTATTGCATCTTGTTCTATCTTGTGGCTTGAGCTTTATGTGATAGAAACAATTGTGTGCAAGTTTTGCATAAAGTTAATGTAAAGATCACATCCTCTTTTTTCTTATTCTTTTCTTGATCATCTATGTGCTGTGATAGATGCAGTAGTAAACTTCTGCTGGTCGATAACTATTTTCCCTCAAGTTCTCTGATGCCCATACCACGTTTCTGCATCAAACTACTGATATCCTGCGGTAGGAGGAATGGTTCAATATCTGGTTTTCTTTCCTTTCCCACTATTTTCCCCAGTTACAGAGAGGAATTATGCATTATTGTCGAGGGACTGAATTATAGCTTTAGGTTGATGCATATTGTGCAATGGTAGGGCCCTTGATCTGCTCCTATTTGGTGTAAAGGTTGTTAATCTGCTGTGTGCTACCATCACCATCTGTCTGTCCTACTTGCATGCATCTAGCAATGCCCACCAACCGGTTCAACCCCACCAGAGAGATATATATGTAAATTTGAACTGAGAGCATAACTATCCTTTTCATTCCTTGTCGTTATTAATCATGCATTAGCTGGCAGAGCAGGTGTGTTTTGCCCCCGCTGTGTTAAGGATTGCCATTTCATGGTCAAATGTATGCATTTCATGTAATTATGTGACCCAGTTGTCGGCATCCGTTGTGGGTTAACCTGTTTGTCTTTGGGTCGCTCGGGGTGTTTATCAGTATGTTCTTAATGGACCAGAGATGAATTTGGTGTGCACCTTGAAGGCAAAACTCTCGTCCCAGCCAAAAGCAAAGTTACTTTGAAGAGAAAGAAGAGGAAGAAGAGAAATGCTAGAGTGAAAATAATACGATTGTAACTGAATTACAAGCTTATCAATGGAAGTAAAACCGGTTGAAGAACTATGAAACAATGTGGTCCTGTAAAAGACACATTGACTTAACGTTACTTGCGTAACAAAACTACTCTCGCCTTAGGCATTCCCGGTGTCACCCTTTGACTTGGTCCTAAATGCTTTTGGCTTGTAACCAACCTTCAGCATCTCCTCAACCTCTTCGAACGGCAGTCCTTTGGTTTCAGGTACAAACCAGTAGATGCAGATAAGTCCAATCACACAAACTGCAGCAAATAGGAGGAACGTGCCAGCGGAACCAAGAGCTTTTGTCAAGGTTAAGAATGTCTCGCTGACAATGAGATTGGACACCCAGTTTGCAACTGCAGCCATCCCTCCACCAATACCTCTGTACCTTAGTGGGTAAATCTCAGAGTTCACGATCCAAGGGACAGTTCCCATTCCGGGGGAGTAGGAAATGATGTACAATCCTAGGAGACTGACCGCCAGAAACCCAAATCTGCTTGGGCAACCATCCTTGAACCAAGTGCGATGTTGTTCCCGACATGAAGCCTTTAGATCTGTGGTCAATGCCAAACATGCGCCGGGGGAATACTGAACAAAGAAAAGAATCGATCTATCAAATTGAATTGGTTAAGAGTGAGGCTGGGAATGAGACGATTGATATTGAATTGCTCTGAGTAAAAAGGTAACGACGCTTACTTCGTTTGCCCCATTAGCACAGAAGCCACATTCAGCTTTCAAGCAAGACATGCAGTTCCATGATACTGGATTAGGAGCTGAAAGATAGCTTGGACATGTAGCATTTATAGCAAAGTGGGTAGATTCAAATTGGTTAATTTTGGGAGAATGGCTGGCAGCCTGAAAGAGCACGATCGATAACACCACAAGGCAAGTGATGATGCCAAACATGGAAACAATCATCAGCCTCCTCCTGCCGTATCTGTCAACCAAAGTCATGCTGATAATGGAGCCAACGGCATTAAGACCAGAAGTGATCAGAGAAAGGGCCATTGCTGTCTTGTTTGATGCAAATCCAGCGAACTGAACTATCATTGGGCTATAATACATGACAGTATTGATGCCTGAAAACTGCTGAGCCACCTGGACAGTCACACCAGCATAGAGGCCCCTTCGAACCACAGCATTGCTCAAAGCACCCCTTACCTTTTCTAGCAGACTGTCCCCGATCGATTGTTCATCAGCTTTTTCAGCTTCAACAGATTCTTTCAAGGCATTCAACTCATCTTCAACTTCATCAGCAGGATAAATTCTTTCTAGGATGTATCTGGCCTCCTCTACCTTGTTCTGAACATCAACAAAAAATATATTGTTATCAATATTATTGTTGTACAAATTTTGCAAACAAAAATTTCTGATCGAATCTGTCAGCGCAAGATTTAACCTGTCTGTAAAGCCATCTAGGAGACTCAGGAAGTGACAGCATCAAGACAAACTGAACCACGGCGGGGATTCCAGCCACTCCAAGCATCCAACGCCAGGTTCCAGGAGCCTGAAACACAATAAACCAATATCTCAGATTAAAAAGAGAAGAGAAATTTTCAATTGCTGTGATTATTACCACTTACATGAGTAAAGGCCAGATTGATTAGGTAAGACAGAAACTGCCCTCCTGTAATTAGCAAACCGTTAGTACTAACAAGTGCACCTCGGATTCTAGCAGGGGAAGCTTCGGAAATATAAAGAGGTGCCGTCATTGAAGCCATTCCGACTCCTAAACCAACAAAAATTCTTCCAATAATAATCATCCATGGAGCTGGAGCGAAAGCCATAACTATGGCACCCACAAAGAAAAGAACATCAGCAACCAAAATTGATAGTTTTCTCCCGAACCTGTCGTTTATCCATCCTCCAAATGCGGCTCCGATTATAGCACCTGCTACAGCCGTACTCACAATGGTTTCCTGCAAACCAACAATACATCAACATTGTTTTCCTTTTTCCCCTTCTGCTTTCCCTTTAAGAATGTGGTAAATATTATCTAACCTGTAGCCATGTTTTCCTGTCGACTTCTGGAAACTCGTCACGGATATAAAGAAGGGCACCGGAGATTACTCCTGCACTCCGATAATGATTGTATAGTATGTTAGTCAAATAAACCAGACATGTCTCATTGAGTGACTGACATCATTTTTACATTGTAGAACACACATAGTGTTACCTGTGTCATAACCAAACAGGAGCCCTCCAAACCCGGCTGACAGTGCAAGTTTCATAATGTATGGGGTCTTCCATGTTGTCTTCCAGCATTCCGTGAACTCTGTCTTATCAGCTTTTGTGACACCACCTTCCACCATTTTTTAAGACAAGGCAAACCTGAAATTTTCCCTTCGATGAACACGTAAGAAATATCTATGTATCCAGCTTTATGAATTTCAAACAGCCTGCAGAGAAACAGCGACAGAAGAGTTCAGAGTTGGGATGGAAATCCTTTCTGATGGACTGTCAAATTCCCGAGAAAATTTTCCCCACTCCAGAGGTGGCATTCAAAATTGAATAAACCAAGAGAACAAACAACACCCAGATTCTCTATCTTGCTTAAACCAAACTGCTAATCAAGATTATCCACAGTTAATTTAAATATGGGGTTCGCAACCTCCTTGATTGACCAAGCCGGATAAGGAAACTGATTCTTCGGATTGTTAGGTAAGATTTTCTACGTTACCACATCGTTCCAAAATGTTTAGACACAACAAGATAACCTTGAGCAATCAAGACCTGCTGGCTGTTCGAATTTTGAAAATTTTTGTAATTTTGATTGATTAACTGATAGTACCTATGATTACTAAACTTTTCAAAATTCGAACATACCTGATAGTATTTTTTTTTTATTCCAAAACATGCAGTTTTTGATTGCTCTTGTAGTGTCCAAACATTTTCCGAGCAATGAATAATATTCAAGGAGGTTGCGAACCCATTTTTAAATTAACTACGGATAGAAAACTTCATGAACTTCCATCAACTTTTTCGTCAACTTCCCATAGCACAGTCCATAAAAAGAGTAGAATGTAAAAACCAACTGTAAGCTTACCAAATGACTCTGTCGCAGATCTGGGTCTAACAAAGCTGATAATGCAATGAAGGTATCCATTTTGTTCTTATTTTGCTTTTACTTTTAGGTTTCCTGATTCTCTACTTAAAAATGGCTTCGAAATTGTTTTCTTTCCTTATATAGCAGATGTTGACAGACTGCTAGCAGGAGTTTGGAAGACAATCCGACCTGGAAAGGGCGATCCCAATTCTGTTTATGCTGTTCCACTGTCTTTAATTAGCTCTTCTGATTACTATATTTAGAGTAGCAAAAGTAGTTCTTTATGAGGTTCAACTCAGTTTTCTCCATTCGTCACCCATTTAAAGACATTGACAGTTATTGCAGTCTTTGCTATAAAGTGATCTTTCCATCTTCTTTTGAGATTAAATGCTCTGACCTGGATTGGTCTTTTGAGCTTTTTCCCAAAAATTTGAATGCTAGATCAGTAATTCTAACGAAATCTCTCATAATTTTATTGGGAAAAACTTAAAAACTCCAAATACGTTTTAATAGTAGTACCATAGTTGCAGTTTTGTTGTTTGATTGTGCTTCGGAATGGTAAAGCACAAAGAACGGTATCCCTCACTTTTCATCATTTTAAGCTATTAACATAATCACTGAGCCAGTGAACTCTCAAGGTTTTGGTTCTTTTTTCCTCTATTTGTAAGCCTTAGACATTCATTACCTGGAGGTGAGACTGTGAGTAGCTACAGATTTTGCTCATCTGCCAACAGAAACAGCAGCGTGAAAGGGAAGGCCTAAGTGCCTCACAACAAGATTGCAAGATAGAAAGCCCAGGGCGGTAGGCAGAATGGTTTATATTTCGGTGTTCGCCTGGAGCTAGAGGAATGGAGATTTTTCCATCAGACAAGGCCCAATTGTAACACATGTACCCTAAATAAAATGAAAATCCCAGGTCCAGTTCCAGGATTGACAGCATTGTGTAGCTCACGACAATTATTGGTATTCCAATATCTCATCAAACTGTCGGTAGCCTACTTTATACCATGCAGGCCCCGAACTTTTGATCTCCGCCCTTCCTTTTCGATGAGAAAAATTTATAACCATATATTTTCTTTACTCTGATACTTTCTCCGAATCAAACAGTCCAATCCTGTCGGTACGAAGTTAAAAATTTGATGCTACTGTTATGGATCGGATCAACTACAATGAATGCAACAGATGAAAGCGCTGATATTCCGTGTTCAAAAAGTCAAGACTATGGATGGTGGCCCAGTTAATTTTGGGGAGCCAAATATTGCGTTTAACCACATGGACGTGGCCTAGTTTCTGCTTAGCTGCTTCAACTTCTGCTGTTGCAGCTCAAGTTCGTGTATCTAAGCAAATGAAACTGGCAATGGCAGCGACATGGTATGGGGGTGGGTCCTGGTCGCTTCTGTACCGCTGCAGCAACCTAACAACAAGGCCGCCGAAAGCCTCAGCTGCATTTCAAGAAGGTTGACGACTGCAATAACCCACAAGCTTAGTCTTTGTGCAGATAAGGGCACTGCACAATGATAAATGTTGACTGAATATAGCTTTGCTCTAGCCTTCTATGGCCCATGCCATTTACATCAACATGTCAGCAATAGGCCATATCATGATCTGTTTTTTATGGGAAAAGTTCAAAGAAGAACAAAAAAAATACATATATTCCTCTTTTCAACACTTCAATTTGATGGGCATGTCTATTCTCAGGATTAGCTCTAGGCCATGGAGTCAATACATTCCTGCTTCATCTCAACTATAGTTTTTGGATGTGGTTCTCCTACAACTAGATTTCGCTAAGCAAATTGTTCAAGCGCCGCCGCAAGCACATGTTCTCTTCAACATCATTTATTTCTCTGAATTTGATTTCATTTCTCGAGTTGTCAGAATTTAAACGGTTCATATTATTTCAGACAAATTATGTTGCATCACTCATATTAATTTTATATTTATGTATGATTTTAATTGGTACAATAATTTGTATATAATCGAAACGAAACAATGAATTTTATATCATTTCATAAGTAAAGATATAACTTTCGACATGGATTTGTATCTGTCACTTGTATCTTTCTTTTCTTTTTCCTTGTATATTTTGAAGTTCTATCATTTTCTTGAAAGCAAAAAATAGAAGAAAATGTGGTAGTACCAATTAGATGTTGTTCTATAGTTTGGGTCCATGGTCCAATGGAGGAAGAGCACAAGGCCCAAATACTGAGCCCAGGAAATTAATGGCAGGCTAAGCCGGTAGCCAGAGTAAATGCAAATCTGGGGTTGTCTCTGCGCTCCCTCAACTCCCTCGGAAAAAAGGCTAACCCTTATTATTTTTCAGACAAATGAACCGTTAAAATCCTGTTGATTTTTGTTCTCTAAGGGAATCATGTTACCAAATCATTGTATTCTTTTATATCAGATCCATTCTTAAAGGTACCCTTTTAGCCCTTTGATTTGATCGTTATTCTGAGAGAGAAAAAAGGGGTGCAGGAAGCCTCTGAATTCTCCTTATAGCTGGTGAGTGTAAAGAAAAACGATCTCTTGCTTTAATTTTTAGGGCCTTAATTTTGTATATCTTATTTCTTAATGACTTTGATTTGCCTTTATCTTAGTCATTACTAATTGGGTTTCTGTTTTACTTGTATCTTGATCATTTGTCAATGTCGATTTTTCAATCACATTTTTGTTGTTTTTGTTTTGGTTAAAAAAGGATTCTTTCCTATGCCTTTGCTAAATTCATTTCGTTAATAGCATAGAGGTCTAGTGATTCTAAATGGGATTTAATTATTATCATTTGGCCTATGTAATGCTTAAGTTGGTGGAATTTTGAACTTGAGTTTACAAGTTTTTAAATTGTGATAATATGGAAATTGAATTTTGTAGCTCTATAGTTAATTGATTTGGCAATTGGAGACTTAGTTAGAATGGTTGGTGATACTCGGTTTTTTTTTTTTTTGATGGCAAGAGTCGAAAAGCCGGTTCAATATGTGAACTTGGTCTAGTGACTTGTTCCAGTAGTTGAGTCACCTGCAAATTATAAAATTTGATGGTAGTTTGCTTGGTGATTTATGTTTATAATGGCATCTTTGATGGCAAACTGATTCTGCATATAGTAATAACTTGATCTCACTTTTTGACAATGCAGACACTGTACTTTGTTATCAGGAGCATATCTTAATTTCTTAAATCTTTGATTGTTGAAATTGATTTACTTGGCTTTATAATTTATTTTGTGGTTTGGATTATTCTAGTTTTTCCAATCAAGGTTTCTTTGTTTCAGTGAAGTTTTATGGGCAGTTTGTGGCGGTAACATTTTTGAATCTGTAATTTTAACTCTTTAAAAGACTCTCCTATAAAGAAATTATAAAAAAAGACGAAGAAGAAAACCTTTTAAAGACTGAGTTTTCAGCATCTTTAATGATAAAGACAAAGAATAAGACAAAAAACCTTATTAAGAGAGTCCCACATTAAAGGTAAAAGCAGGAGGCTTCGTTTATAAATGAAGTTCTATGTTGTTTCTGCATCGTGGTCTTGAGGTAATGTTCAAAAGCAATATTATTGAGCTATTATATGTTATCTTGTAAAGTCTAGTGCATAATTCATACATATTGCAATACTATCAAGCATCTTATATTGGTTGCGGATGATCTGTTACACATGATTAATTCTTGAAGGTCGTCATGGCTATAAATATGCTGTTCTAAGAGTCTTATCAGTTCTTGGCCCTCCATTTCTGGCATCTTGTTTTTGTTATTTAATGTCTCTTATATTGTAATTTTAAAGTTTGTACAAAAACCAATGTGATGTTTTACTGGTTAAGAGGAAAATGTGACATAGGAATCTTAAGTGCGCTGATATTTGGGATGAATGCATCAGGCTTGTTACATGAGATGTTTCTATTTCCAACCACAAATTGCATTGAGTCTTGTTTGAGACTTCTAATTTGCATTTATGAGGTTTTTGGTGTCCACTAAGGTAACAACTTGTCAAGAAAATGGATTTTGCACTAATGATCTGACATTATCTTATGTCCTTGTTTGAGTTTCAAAGATCTAAGTGGTCGAGGGAGCTTAAGTGGATTTCATGTGTCAGGCAAGCTGGAAGCAAGTTCAGAGGAGGGATAAAGGTACCCTCCCTTGCCTTCTAAGGATTCTGTGTATAAGACCTTAATGAGAAGCATATTAGTTGTCAACTTAATCAGTTAACCATTTTACTTTTTAAAATTCAGGTAAAAATTTGCTTATATTGAACACTTTTGCCTGACACAATTATTTTTCCCTAGACCTTAGCAATTTGTGTATTCATTTATGCTGATTGATTATATGTGAGGATCCTCCTCTTCTGACTAGTCATTGGAATCAGTTGCTGCATTTGCTAATGGTTTTAGTTTTTCCCTCTATTTTGTGTTGTCACTGCAGGGAACTTAACCTATTCACTAGGACAAGGATTAGTACTTAACACATAGAAAGTTCGAGATAGATTTACCCAAGTTGCAGAATGCAGAAATTGGAGTAGAAGTTAGTCCTTTTTATTCAATTGACCCAATATTTGCTTCACAAGATAGGTATTTTCTCAGATCCTGTATATAAGCAATTGCTGAGTGGCACTTTTGTACTTTATATACCTTCCCTGCCTTACAAGTTTCCTTTTCCAGCTGCCTTTGTTCTTTTCTTCTTGAAACCTGCTTTTGTTCTTGAATAGGATAAGGTTAGCATTTCTTAGGTGATAATTTGAGTTCCAGAAAAGAACCTGAATGCAGTGTGCTCCAATTTCATTGTTGTTGTGGTTCTATACAGTGGCAATCCTCGGGAGGTTGGAAAATGGCTTTTGTTTCGGAGGAAGAGAAAACTGAGGATTATCTTTTCAAGATTGTACTCATTGGTGATTCAGCTGTTGGGAAATCAAATTTACTTGCAAGATTCGCTAGGGATGAGTTCTATCCTAATTCAAAGTCAACCATAGGAGTAGAGTTTCAAACCCAGAAGATGGATATTAATGGGAAGGAAATTAAGGCACAGATCTGGGATACGGCTGGTCAGGAGCGCTTCAGGGCTGTTACATCTGCATATTACCGAGGTGCAGTTGGAGCTCTCCTTGTGTATGACATCAGCAGACGACAGACTTTTGATAGCATTGGTAGATGGCTAAATGAACTTCACAGTAAGAACCTTGACGAACTTGTGTTTTCTTGATTTCTTTTATGATGCACTTGGAAATCTTCTCAACGCAAATTTGATTTCTATGATTGATCAAAATTCACCTGCTTTGATAATGGGTTAATGTTATCTTGTTTTTAAAGTAACTGTTAGCCATGTTATGGTTAGTAACTAGATGGTGTTTCCTTCCATTGCCTTCTTGCCAATATTATAGATTTGTTATTTTTGGCACCTGATGGCTAAGTATGTAACTGTGATGATCAAAGGATTGACTCGTGCTTGTCATTTTGAACAGCTCACTCTGACATGAATGTAGTCACCATTCTAGTGGGCAACAAGTCAGATCTCAGGGATGCCAGGGAAGTATCCACTGCTGAAGGAAAGGCCCTGGCGGAGGCACAGGGTTTGTTTTTCATGGAGACATCTGCCCTTGATTCCTCTAATGTAGCAGCTGCCTTTCAGACAGTTGTTAAAGAGATCTACAACATATTGAGCCGGAAAGTTATGATATCTCATGAGCTCAAGAAGCAGGATGCTTCATTGAACGGAAAGACCGTGGTGTTACAGGGGGATGAGAACCAACAATCTGATGCAGGGGCTAAAAAGGGTGGGTGGTGCTGTTCATCCTGACGCCACAGAAAACATAATCCTCTCCTCCGGTTACATTTTCTGGTTCTCCGGCCTTAAGTTACCACTGGAAGTTCCTGATATTTCTTCTTCATGTATTCATTTCTTGATGCCGTTAAAATGTCTACTTAAATAACATTGGTTTTGTTTGTTCATGGTTCATCTTGCGGTGGCTGAAGAAGAGACTTCATGGAGTAACAAATGTAAATGAACTCAAGGGGGATTGAAAGGGCAAAAAAAGAAATCAAATGATATAATTTTCCGAATGTCAGCATATTTCATTTGCTTTGTTTAGTCATTAGTCTATTCAAATGTTGACATGTTGAAGGCTTTGGTTTCTTTGTTTTCAGCCTCCCCGCTGTTTTCCTTCAACCCCAAATTCCTGGAAGTATTTCGTTTTCTGCTGTGATGTAAGGCGACGGTAATTTACATAAAATAATCTACTTTTTCAGGGAAAATTCAATGATAAATCGAGTCACATTCCCCATAATAATTATTTTCTCTTCTGGTAAAGATTTTACATCAATAAAATGTCTTAGGTTGTTGATTACCACTCCAGCAATGTTGCTGCCTGCCTAATCTTCTGCATCGGCTGTTGCGGCAGATAAGACTATAGGGCGGTGGGAGTTAACACCTGAGTCGACACTTACAGCAATGAATCAAGGGTACAAACTAGGGAGCCTATGAAAAATAAGAGAAAAAAATCCTTAGAAGGAATCGAGAAAAGAAGATACTCAAAATGTAGACCATAATAAAGTCACATTTGTTTGTAAGATTTATGCGTAAGTCATGAAAACATTCAATAGAAATCAATATAAAATATCATTGCAGTAACAGGCCATCATAGAATTCCTACAAGAGATTATTGCGAAGAAGAATTCTGAAATTCACCCCTTCGGCAAATTGAGGTCCCTGGGGATAATTCGAAGATCAAATGATGTATTCCCCTAAACTCGGCTATGTTTATATCGGTGGCTCAAAAACTCGCCTCCTCGGTAGTCGGACGCCTCAAGAAATATCGCAAACTATTAGCAAGAACCTGCCAGATTTCATATACCAAAAACTCATAAGCACATGTTGGCAACAGCTCATTATGCTTTTGAATGAAGCTCACAGCAAGCAACTAGCATGTAGGCCCCACCCAAATGATTGATATATACAAATAAGCCCTCCAAAATTAGTGATGACTTTTATGTTCTATAGAAAATCGAAGGATCTCTACCATGTGCTATTTGGGGTAGCATGTGGACTAGGAATTATTGAAGTTTTAGGTCAGAAAGGAACTGGTTTCACAAGGGCCAGATTTAGGGATATTGTGCTTTTTACCTGCTGCAGAGGCTTGATGATGGCTTTGTTCTTGTAGCTGACATGAAACTTGGCCTTTGCCAACAACCCCTAGGTTGCAAAGGTAGAAAAATTTAATACCATTGGGCGAATACCAATTCTTCAAGAGGGAAAAAGAAACTGACTAGATAATCCTAGTTCTAGATGAATGAAAGAGAATAACTGATCACCTCAGTGTCAAACTCCCCAGATTCAACTGCAATGTTGATGTCAGTAATAATTTTTACAAGATCCACCAACAACCCTGGTCGATCAGCTGTTTCCACATATAGCAAGCTGAACCAAAATTCTTTTAGAAAATAAAATTTTATGGGAATGAAGAATACCAAAAGTCAAAGCATATCATCCCTTTCATTTATATTAAACAAAGAAAGATCATCACGCATAGGTGGCAGAAAATTTTCAAGATGGGGTCATAGGCTATAGTCTTAAGCTATCAAAATCACAAGGGCATGGATTGTATTGTATAAGGCTATAAACCCCAGCATGTAGAGAGAGACCCAAGCATCCATTACCTACGGTCAGGACCATCATCATTGACGCTTATGTGGGTTGCAATATCCACATCAACCTGAGGAATTCCAGCAGAGCAAAATTTAAACCAAGATTGATGTGGGATGTCATGCTCAGCTCAATGATTGATGGACAATTTGTAACAATTATAACCACTTGCATCAATCTCACTAGCAAGCATGAAAAATATCCATTGGAATTACAACAAATGTCAATATAACAGTCTTCTTCTGACCACTTAAAGCTTGTGTCAACAAACATTCAAGATAGGAAAATGCCTGAACTCAGTGGGTGAGAAGAAAAGATAAACAATGTAAGAGGAATACCTTTTCTTTTGGTGGCTCAACACCAAAAGCAGCACCCATTGCTAACTGAGAACTTGATTCCTGACCACCAATTAACATGTCAATAGGCTTTTACTAGGAGATTCCTCATCAAGAATAAAGAAAAGAAGAGGTGATTACTGGATGGTACTCAAGTAAGTTGTTTATAATCGTCAAACGAATTGCCTCAAGCAGTTCTGGTTCTTCTACTTTCCTTCCAGTACTCCTACAGAAAAGCACCACCACTAAATTAGTAAAATTGAACTTAAGATAGCTGTTAGAACAGCTGATACATAATATTCAATTTTCATCTGATTGTCTTTTATTAGCTGCAATTCAATTCCACAGTTGGACTTATCCCATCTGAGTGAGTTTTTACTTCATGAATCAGAGAAAGGGATTCTTCTGAATGGGGGAAAAATTCATTCCCCTCCCTTTTATGAAATTCTTCTGAATGATTTTCTAAAAAAAAAAATCAGAGAAAGAGATTCTAATTGCTTTGCCACAACAAAAAGCTTTTAATTCATGGAAATGAAGAGCTACACCCAATCATTCAATCAAAATGGTGATCTACATTTTTGGATATTCAAAACCTAATGATATACCCTCTTGCATCCTTGACAGATACAATGTGTTACACTTATCATACAATTTTCACATTTGAGTTATTAGGAGTACATACAGATACATCTTTAATCACTTCCAGATGCTTCTAAAGGTACATGGAGTACTTCCCAATCTCACTTCAAAATAATACTGTCCAAAATTATATCAAGTATTTATCATTTTCGCAAAAAAGTAATTAATGACAACTAACTTATGCTGAATTATAGAAGTATTAACCACAAGCAGGTCGAAAATTACACTCATTAACTGCAGCTAGTTAACTGTTACAGAAAGTGTAAACTGCTAGGAAAGTTTGACGAGTTATTACCAAGAACCATTCAAATGCAAGTTGAAAACAACTTAAAAGGCATATAACTTACGCCTTAGTGATGGCAAATGTGTTGTGCTTCCCAGATGAATCCAGATATACGTTTGCTTTAACAACATTCAACCCAAGATTTTTAAGTGCATTCATCTGTAATTCATTCAATAACAGTTAGGCTACACACCAAAAATTCTAATCATACAAAATTGAGAATTCAAACTTGCATATGAAAAGCAAAATATAGATTTATTTAAAGCAGTAAGTAAATGGCTTTATACAGTATCAAGAAGAGCTCCAAGGCGATCGCCAAAGGTTACTTCCACTAAAGTGACGTCTGGATCAGAGTCTTGGTCAATTATAACCTTGGGGGTCGGAACTGTATCAGTGTCGCTGAAACTTCCATCATTCTTCAAACAAACAACCATAAGAGATGGAACTTTAGCCAGTTAATATGTAATTAACAATCAACCAAATATATTCTTGCTCATCTTCCATACCTCTACAGCTGTGGCTGATGGTGTTGCTGGTGGAATAATTCCCATTGTTGAAGATGACAAACTGACACTGTTATGATTAAAAGTCAAGGTAATGTAGTTTAGAAAGAGACTAGGCATCAAGATTGAATTAAACCATTATTACAAGTAAGTGTTAGCAAGTGCAAATCCAGTTGAAGAGTCGCAGTAGTAATTGGAGAAACATTTAGCAGGAGACAAATAGCTGCAATGTGCTTTTATCTATTGGCATAAATGAAATAGACAAGCTAATTAAATTGGTATGAGCAATATATCTGATTCAGTCCTTACAAAGTCAGTCAGTGCTTTGTTCTACTTGGAGATACCCTCAAGATGCATAAAAAATCAAGAAAAAGGAGCTAATTACACATATTCAGTTGAAATTAACTACATGATTGAATGAATTTATCCAGTAGATTTACAATTGCATTCAAGCTTTTTACTTCAAGCAGCATAAAAATCCGCCAAAGAGTTTCTAAATAAAAAATTTCATCACCCAGAGAAAGAAGTATCCAAATACAAAAAACAAAGAAAATAAACAAAATTTTAGAAAGGAATTCGATTAAAAAAAGATACCTTCTTTTCCCAAGATCGTTGGGTGGTCTGCTGACAAAGACAGCACGCCAAGAATGGTTTTTGAGCTCAAAGCCAGGAATTTTATTAGTGTTGCGGCTAAAGTACACAGCACAATTAGCAGCAGAAGCCATAGCCACGGCCATTCCAACAAAAAATAAAGCAAGGGCCTGCTGCTGTAGCTACAGGAAAGAAGCAAAAGGAAGAGATAGAGAGATCAGAAAGTATCAGCAAAACGAAAGAAGAATGTGACAAGTTTCGAGAAATGAGAGTGGGCTCTCGTTTTATCCGCCATGAGATAGAGAAAGGGAACTCTTTCTCTTCCTTTCTTTTTCGAATTGGTTACAACCCAATCCTTTTTCCATCCTGCATATTATCTGCAAAGTTTAAAACGGACGTTTCTCTTGTCCGCAAGATTTACTAAGGCGTGTTTGTTTCCGACATTACTAAGATGATTCGGAAGCAGATATTCGCATCAATGGTGGATTATCCCATGACTAGTTTCTGTTTCGTGAACAATCTATTTGTAGTAATTTTCAGGGTGAAAATCTATGGTGGTAGCCAAACATGCCCTTAAATGTTGTGGAAGCGACAAGACAAATTTTCAAGCCTGTAATGATCCAATTAGTCGTTTCCACGTTAGCAAGCAACCATCCCTCACAATGGCGAAAGTACCCTTTGTCGTTTCCAAACGACACGCGGCGCTATCTCGATCGTTCCTGTCCGAATGGACTTTTTTGGTCGGAGAACGCGAGTCCAACTCGGTCCCCAAACTTCCTCAAAACGCAACGTGAATAAATTGGATTTTCCACCGATTTCGAGAACCGAATGAAGAAAGTCAGGTTGATCGGTTGATTGAAAACCAGGGAATCAATCGATCGAAGAGAAGAACAGAAAGAGAATCGAAGGGATCGGGAGGGATGGGGAGGCTGTTCATAGAGACGCTGAGTGGGGCCAGGATCTTCAAGTGCAAATGTTGCAAGGTCGACTCGGCCTCCCACGACGACATCGTTTCAAAGGACTTTCACGGTCGTTTTGGGCGTGCTTATCTCTTCCGCAATGCGTAACCTTTTTTTGTTTGTTTTTTAACATTTACCGACCTCTTTTTGCAAGCTCATTGCTTTTTACACGTGATGGGAATTGATACAGTTGTATCCATGGCAGGGTAAATATTAGCCTGGGGCCGACGGAAGAGCGAATGTTGTCGACCGGATTGCACACAGTCACTGACATTTACTGTAGCTCTTGCCAGCAAATTCTGGGTTGGAAATACGTAAGCTTTTTCAGTTGTCCAATTCAATACAATTTTCGTTTTTTGTATTTTCTTTCAAGATTTCAACTGGAAAATATCTAAAGGAATTGAATTTGAACTGGTATTCCAGTATTCCAAGTGGACTCCCATGTTTATCTTGAGCTTTTGATTGCTTGGGAAGCTTCTAATCATGGCTGATTCAACAGCTTCTCATCAAAATAGGTTCTTTTAAGATTCAAATACGGCAAAGGGTAGTAGTTTTTATTGTCTCATGTGACAAATTCAAAAGCCTTAGACTTTGATGAACTTTAGAAAGAGACAAGAATTTAAGTGATTGGTTTGCTTATCAAGGATTTGGTGAAGAAGGGAGGAGGGATTTCATCTTGGCCTCATTTAATCTACATATATATATATAAAGTTGTGGTATCTGTAATGTGTAGATTGTCTTTCTTGGTGAAAATTTATGGAATGAACTTCAAAGTGCAATGTTTGCAGGAGAAGGCTTTTGAGGAGAGCCAAAAGTATAAAGAAGGAATGTTCATTCTTGAAAAGGAACGGATGTTCAAGGAGGGCTGGTGATAATGCCCTTGGAACAACAACAAGAAGAAGATATTTCAGATTGTCCTAGTAGATATACTCTCGTTGATGGTGAAGGTTATCATGCTTGCAGCTCACGTTACCACTCAACTGAAGACCATCTTTTGAATATTTTCCTTTTTCGATACCATCATTTTACTTATACAATGTCTTACCATGCTAGTTTTCGTGCATTGTGTTTGCTGACATCATTGAGTTCTCGGTGGTATTGTTCTTTTTCTCTTTTTGCTTGGAAAATGTTTTGGTAGTATAGATTTTGACAACTTGGATTGAATGAACTCTTTACACTAAACAGTTTTTCCTCTGAATTATTTGTGCCTGTTGTGAGCATATATAGGAAAGTGCAACTGGGGGGTAAGAGTGGTGAAATGTAAATGATGGTAAAATGTATAGTCCATTAGATTTGGGCACAAGGTGGAACTGGAAAGCGGTAGCCCTCTCTCTATGTTAAAGGAAGAATGGTTGTGAACTGTTGCAGAGCTATCCCAACAGGCACAGAACTAATGGCCAGTTCCCAAAAATAAAGGACCACTCGGTGATAAAATCCCCATTCTTGGGAGTTGAAGGTGGTGCAGCCATGAAAGGGACTATAAAAAGCTCTTGCAGAACCTATCTGTTAAGAAAGTTTGGATAAGAGATAAAAGAATGACCACATATTCAGGGAATTAAGATGACTCACCCGGTGCACTTGGTGGCATACTCATGACTGATTCAAGCCAAGTTGTGCTCTAGAGGCTGCACTTAGTTGATATCGTTTTCATTTCCCCCCTCAAAAAAGCCTAGAATGATGTCCTAAAAGCCAAAGACTTACGTTGTACTCTGGCATGATGGGGGCCATAAATCAAGTAGGAAAGGACCAATCCTAATTACAGATCAATAAGATCTTGGCCCCCGGCTTTTCAGGCTGACAGCATTTTTTTGGAAAATGGGAACAGGTAGTTCCTTATCTTCCTGTAAAAGAAGTATTGGGCTATGCCTTGAGCACTAGTTTTTGTCGACATTTTCAACACCACAGGGGATAGCAATCATGACTGAAGAAAGAAATTACACTAACAATAAATCACATTTTGTAGTACCTTATTCTAGGGGAACCCGAAAGAGTGTATCCCTCCAGAGTTTTGACAATGTAAATCCAAACCAAACATCTCATTACAATCTACAAAATACAAGAGCCCAGTAACTTCACTGGATATAACAGCAGAAGATCGAACAACTCTAACGCAGAAGGGAAAAAAAAAGAAAGAAAAAAAGTTTGCTCTTATACGTATCGTCTCTGTCACCAAGAGATGCATGATACAATAATCTGCGTATACCCACAATCTGATTTTACATCTTAATCAATCCCAGTAAAGAAAACCTGTATTGAGAAGGAAAAAACTGCAAGCTCAAACCTTACAAGAAATTCTTTGTAACTGATCTCTATAACAAGTTCATCAAAACAGGTGAACCAAATTAGCTCTACTCATATTTTCATATAAAACTGAAATATCTCACTGAGGAAAATGTAGAAATCAAGTCATTCACCCGCTTCACCAGACAAATTTCCTACAATTATCTTTTTGACATCATATCATCACAACTCCTATGCAGCAATCCCTGGAAAAGATGATGACCAAGAGAAAATGAGCACGACAGATATCAACTAATAACTGAAAAATAGGGTGTGTTCATTGCTAACTATGGATGTTGACATTTATTCTTGGAGGGAAGGGACCTACAGATATCAAGTTAGATGTATTCCCTGGTCTACGGAGTAATGTTTTACTCAATTTACTAGGTAGTGTTGCAGTCTAACATGCATGGAAAACAAGGGATATATGTAACTAGTACACAATTTATGAAAGGGCATGTACTATTAACTTGCAACTATTTACATTTCAAAGGCAAGTTTTTACTGGAAATTAAATGTTTTTGGCCCAAACTAGTGCACATTCTGTCTGTTGATGCTCATTCTTTATCATGAAAGATGCCAAGCTGTTAATTGGTACAAGAAGATGGCAAGATAAATAAAGAAGAATAAAGAAAAGGAATACGGCAAAGCAATGAAGTCTTACCTCTATTTGCCTGCCTATTGGTAACACTATAACCACCAATGTAACCAGCAGAGTTATTAGTCATAACATCTGAACTTGCATCTCCCAGCCCAAAACCAAAAGAACTAGACCGCTCTAGGTCTGAGGGAGAAGATCGCCAAGTGGAATCCCCATAAAATGAACCATTTTCATAGATATCAGCATAAGCCCCGTCATAACCACCATTTGAAGCACCATGGGATGATAACTGAGCAACATTGCTGTTTCTGCCATAGCCTATCCCTCCTGATCCAACACCAAATTCTCCACTTCCATATCTAAGATTGCCACCATTATAAGAAGAAGCAGCACCTCCACCTTGACCTAAACTAGGAGAGGAATCCCAAAGTGCTCCTATGCTGCCAAAAGAACGCACTCCTGAATTCCCACTTCCAGAGCCCACAATAGCACTAGAGTTTGTGGAGCTAGTAGCATAGTTAAAACTTCCATTTCCCCACATATTTCGACCAGCTGAGTTTAAGATAGAACTATTTCCTCCACTGCCCCCACCATATCCAAAGGGGCTACCAAACCTGTTTGAATTTCCATTAAATGAAGTGTTCAATCCCCGTCCATAGCTGAGGTTAGAACTAAGGTTTAAGCTTCCTCCGTAGCTTGGACTCAAATTTGACTCAAAATTCAGTCCCATCCCATAACCAGGACTCAATGGAGGAAATCCACTCCGACCAACAGTAACTGGGCTAAATCTACCTTCCATTCTAACACCATAACCTCCAACTGAACTAGTATTATAACCCTGCATGTAGCCATTAAGGAAGCTATTGACTCTACTCAGACCAAAGTTATACCCACCTAACTGGTTCCGACTTGTCCCCGGAGATGATTCTTTGGGGACAGCCCGCTTGACCTCAACCATTTTTCCATTGAGTTCATGAAATGTTCTCTGCAAGACTTTATCGACAGCTTCCTCTGAATCATAAGTTATGAATCCAAAACCTCGTGGCCTCTGAGTGTTGTGATCATACATCACAACAACATCTGTAATTGTACCAAACTGATCAAAGTACCTCTTAAAGTCACTCTCAGTGACCGTGGATGCTAAGCCTCCTACAAATATCTTTTTTGTGCGAGCAGGACCAGGTGATCCATGAATGCTAACATTGCTCTTGTTCAGTATGTTCTGGTCATCCCTAGGAACTGCCTTCTTTGCCTCAACCTGAAACAGCGAACCAGAACATAGAAAATGGAGTTTAACATAGTTTCAGTTTGACAGCATAAATCCTAGTTTCTCAAGTGCACAACTCTTTGAAGCTTAATGTAGATAGGCACCACCTACAGCTATTTAACTTTCCCAAATTTTGTATTATGGATCCTGGACACTTGTACTCTTTGACAATTGAGGAAATAAGAAAAAAGATGAAAAACCTATTACTTCCCCGTGATACAAATTGTAATTTTGCACTGCTCTAGATTCTTAAGTTGCAAAGCCATCATCTCTTGGATGGTAAATAATTACAGATGGTCCTTTAACAATGAGCAAATTGTGCCTTCTGAATGCATTGACTCATCTCAATGCAAGTGTAACAAGAAAATGCGTGTTATTTCTTGGCATCAATCCCTCTCTTCAAACACAACCATTCGGTCTTTGTAAAATTCTTTCTACTACCCAAAGTGATATCCTGCTGGTGATTAAAGCGGTTAACATTGATGATGTTCAGAATCTATCACCTTCTTTTGCCCTCAAAATGAAAATACATATTCCCAGAGTAGTTCTTACTCAATAGCAACATGTTTCCAAGCAAACCTCACGATGTACAAACTATGCTCCAAAATAGAAACTTAAGCTGAAATGATCTTTAATAAAACTAATACACCCTTTAAAAAATTCATTTTGTAAGTCCTGTTTTAATCAAATAATTAACCAATAATGATTTAAAAAAAAAGAAGAAGAAGAAAGATAATATTAATGGTCGTCAACCTGCATCAGGACAAGAAACTTGCTAATTCTAAATCTTTGAATTGTATGTTTTAATTCATGACACAAAGCAAACCAATAAAATAGTATCTATCAGAATTCATCACGTTATTAGAGAGTTCAAAGAGTAGAAACTTACAGTTCTACCATCTATCATGTGCTTTTCCATAACAACTCTTTCTGCAATAGCCGGGTCAGCAAAAACAACAAACCCGAATCCGCGAGCACGACCAGTAGCCCGATCCTTCATTATCACAGCTTCCACAACTTCCCCAAAAGCTTGAAAATACTCTCGAAGACGGTCCTCATTTGTGTCCCAAGAAATCCCACCAATGAATAGCTTGCCAAGCTCCATTTCCATTCTGAACATCAATATCCAATAATCTGGTTCAATGGAATCCCAAGCAATCAAAAACAAAGCGAATAAACAATCACATCATCACCTTGTCTCAAAGAAATATAAGAATCAAGTCTTCTTCTGGACCAATCAAATTAAATTCAAGTAGAGAAGAAAGCAAACATCGGATCTAGAAGTCGAGGCATAATTATATGTAACATACCACCAGATATGATTGAGGCTTCGCTTTCTTAAATTTTAAGGCAATACAGAATTCAACATCATGTCTTAAAAAACAATCCACCATAAAACATCGTAATGTAGATTAACCAAAGAAAGCTGTACCTTGCCAGAATACAGAAATCAAGCAAAGCTTGGTTATTTATATCAAAATAAAAACGACCGGGTGTTGTTGGATTCAATCGAAAAGCATGAGACCAATCACCGATCGATTACCAATAAACCAACAATCCAGGATTCCTAAAAACCAAAGCAAAAAAGGATCCAGCTTTGATGAGAAATGAAAGAAAGATCCAATACCCAGAAATCATTTACAGCAAAATAATGAAGAACACAAAAGAAAAACAAGCTTTGCTGGTTTCTTTTTTCGTTTTTGAAGAGACAATGATATTAACTATACCAGGGAGAAAAAACCCAGATGGGAAAGTAGGAGAATCTAAGATCTGAGAGGAAGCATAATAAGAAGAGAGGGCTTAAAGGCCCTCCTTTTCCTCTCTCTTTTTTCTTTGTTTTTCTTCCAATTACTGTTTTTGATATCAATGGGTTGTACAAATATATTTATATGTGTAAAATGAATGGATTTTATGTATCAAACAGAGACGCAGGGAGATGTGTGAGAGGCAATGGATTTGGATCAAAAATGGATATAAAAAAAATTTGTATTTTTTGTATTTATATATTTTTAGAAGAGAGAGAGAGAGAGAGAGAGTATACACGAGAGAGAGAGAGAGAGACAGAGAGAGAGAGAGGCTTGGCTACCCTCCCGTGTAAGAAAGTTACAAGGGAGACGATGGGAAGATGGTGACTTTCCAAAGTTTGAGTTTTGATTTAAATTCCCATGATAACATATACCAAACCCAGACCCCCAAAAAGTTTGATTATTTCATTTCCATCCTCTTTCTTTGCTACTATTTCCATTCATCACAAACCATTCAGCAATTACACTCCTGTTCTTACCATTCACCACGACCCAAAATTTTTCTTCTTTCTTTTTTCTCTCTTATTCAATAAATAAATAAATAAAAGGTTGTCTTTCTTTTCACTTTGGCTTTTAGTGTGCTGTTTGAGCTTGGAGGCTAACAAATTAGGTGGTCCATACATTATAATGGTCCATTGGTTTAATAAGGTTTCTTGTGTTAATAGTTTCAATATATAGATTCTTCCTATGTTGTTAAATTATGAAGTAAATTTGTTTTTTTGCTTTTCCATGCATGCATTGTTATCAGTTTATGGATACAATAATTTTAATTTTGTTTAAAAATTCAAAGAAAAATGAAAATTCACATGGGTAGGTAGAATTAAAGTCTTTTTCTCCTATTAGACAAGTAAATGATTCATACCTTAATATCTAGTCAATTCAGAATCATGAAAATTAAACAAAAAGCAAATAGAGAGA